AAATACCGAAGGAAAAGATTGGAAAAGCGAGCTCAACACCTTCCTACTCAATTACCGAGCAACGGCTCATTGCACTACTGGCAAATCACCCGCTGTTCTCTTGTTTGGTCGAGAGATACGCACCAAGCTCCCGTCGTTGAACACTAGCCGTTCGCCAGCTCCAACGTCACCTGTTGTCGACCCCGCCATTCTAGAGCGTGATCGTTGTCAGAAAGCAAAGATGAAGAAGTATGCGGATGAGAAAAGACGTGCAGCACCTTCCAACATAAAGAGGGGCCGGGTGACAAAGTTCTTCTGAAGCAAGAACGAAAGAATAAATTATCCACAAAATATGACCCAGACCCATATATAGTGGTAGGAACGAAAGGCACAAGTTTACTTCTAAAGAGACGAGCCGAGCCCGAGATAATGAGGAATTCGTCAGCAGTTCGCAAATTTTCGCCGGAGGGAACAGATAATCATCCACACGAAGCCAAACGGAAACCAGACCAAGTGGTTGATACAACAGCAAAGCCTAGACCCTAGCGACAGCGAAAACCTCCTGAATATCTTGGACATGAAAAGTGACATTCACGCAGTCCGGAAGAGTAAGACAGTATACGAATTGACAGTTACAAACTCTGACAATTGATATTTAGTTTTGCATGTTTATTGACGTTTGGTTAAGCATTTTCACGTAAAAGAGGGATGTAGTGTCTGTGACGTCACAGTCACGTGAGGAACACGAGGAGAGACAGAGTAGTGTTTAGAGAGAGAGTATTGTAGTAAATGAGCGAGAGAATAAATCCTTAAAGTTTGATAATATAAACACTGTAGCTGTCTTGGGCGGGATCCAATTGGTACCACGCTTACAAATCGATTACAAGTACTCCAAAATAGGGCAGCAAGGGTCATCTTAGGATATATAAATGAGCATGGTCAGTCTGAAGCCGCTTTGTCTGAATTGCAATTGAAAACGTTAAAAGAACGCAGATTAATCTTTAGGGGCAAGTTTATGTATAAAATTGCTCATGCACAAGCACCACCTGTTTTAACCGATATATTTGAAGACTCATCTGCTCCTCAACATAATTACAATTTAAGAGACCATGATTTCAAGTTTTACTTATCAAAATCAAAAACAGAATACTTGAAAAATAGCATCCGGTATAGTGGTGCAAAACTCTGGAACAGCTTACCTTGCGAGTTAAGAAGCGCAAATTCATTAAATCTATTCAATTCGTTGATTTCTGATACTAGCCTGCAGTCTTAAATTTATTATTATCTTTATTTAACCATGATTTAACTAATTGTAAAATTTAATATGTAAGTGTAACTATTGTATATATTTTATCATCACGCCCTTCTTGGAAATCAGCAAATGCTGAAGGGGTTATAGCGTGTTTAAATAAAGTTTTATCTACATCTACAATCTTTGACAATATAGATTGGAACAATCTAGTTTTCACATGCATTCAGTTGTAATATACCATTTCCTGATACATATTTTCCACCCTCCCTCCCCCCACCCGTTTCAATGTTGGCGCCGCGCATCCAGACATCAGATTTTTGTTGGCCCAACATTGAACTGGGGGAACGGGGGGCGCTATTCCTTTCAAATTATATGAAATTACAGCAGCTGTCCCATAGTTTCTGGCAAAGATTGTACATCTGATAACAAGATATCAATATGTACAAGTGTGGTAGCAACAAAAAATGTTATTGCTTCATCCGAAAGAGCATGAAAAAATACGCCGATTGGCCGTTTAATGCTCTATTCTATCTCATTTACAAGTCGCTGATTCAGCACAACGTGTGACGTCATTAGTTGGGTAAGTATGTTTAATGAATACTAAACTGAAGCATAGCTCAGTTATTATGGGCCCAAATCAAATAAAATTTTGCATACTGATTGTACATGATGAGACGCATTGATAAACACTTCTAATTTTGTTGCCAAGGTAACAATGTCGTTCCCAGGCCCCTTGCGCCAATTTTATAACAGCTTTATTCATGGTACTTGTAAGAATAAAATAATATCACAACTATGTGTACCATACCTATGCATGCCAAAAGTTTACTTGCATGATAATAATTCGAAAATGACATACACATAGATAAATTCAACTAGTTATTAAAAATCAGTGTAAGGGGCCTGGGAACGACTGTGTTGCCTTGGCAACAAAATTAGAAGTATTTTCCCATGCGTCTCATCGTGTACTATCTGTATGCAAAATTTCATTTGATTTGAGCCAATAACTGAGCTATGCTTCAGTTTACTATTCAATAAACATACTTACCCAACTAATGACGTCACACATTGTACTGAATCAGCAATTTATATTTTGCACTTTTTGCGTATAACTTCGGAACTAGATCAGATAGAAAAGAGCAGTGAACGGCCTATCGGCTTATTTTTTCATGCTCTTTCAGATAAAGCAATAATTTTTTTATTGCCAATACCCTTTAAGGTTACATCATATGATAGATTCCTGTTTCAGAAAAATTGTCACTGCGTGCTCAATTTTTTAGTTACGTTCCTCAAATTTGGTACGTGCAATGATAACTAACTGTAGAAGCTACTGTTTTAACCATAATTCACCACCTTTTAACCTGTAGTCGCAATGAGACATCTTTTGAAAAATAGCACCTCTTGCGCCACGAGATTTAACGACAGACCGTTTAACTCAGGAGCTCCCAAAATATCATATTTCTCATCTCAAATGCCCAAAGAAGAGTGTGTTCGCATTTTTTGATAGCTATTGTATTTGCTTTGATATAAAGCAGACAACTTGACTTATCTTGTGCGGGTATAAGCGGCTGAAGAGATGCTTCCAAATTGAAAAATAATGCACTAATATAATCGAAAACGCGAACACACTTTTGTTCCTTTATTATTGATTAACATTGTGGTCAAGTTTGGGACCAATCGGATAAAACGCGCTGTCGTTAAACTCTTTTTTGTCGTCTTGTCGAGGAGATTGGGTAATTTTGCTTTCTCTTCAAACGACGATTTAAGATTTGACGAGGTTTGCACTCTTTCTGTCATTTTCTCCGCCCCCTATGTTAATCCACTTGGTGCGGTTAACCAATCACAAACAACCAACTTTAATATTTTTTGGCAAGGTGTTTATCACATTTTATATCTTTATAGAATTATAGTCTATAGACTACAAAACGCAAACGCAGTAGAAAAGTCACCGTAGCCGACATCGCGCATAGCTTGAACTTCGAGAGATTCTGTAAATACTATATTATAAGATTTCTAATGTTGTCGCAATGATATCTGCCTCTGAACAATAACAAACGGCTTATACTTTAGTGAATTTCACACCTTGATATTTGACGCCAGCAAAGTTCAATCATAATTACTAGTTTCGCGCAAAGCTATTCAGTGGTCATAGCATTTCCCCCTATATCTCGGTCGCTTTTTAACATATTCTTTAAAAAGTTGCTGGAATTGAGAGATATATCATCACTTAATATGAATATATAAAAAAAAAAAATTTTGGACAAAATCAGAGTTTCATGATATAATGTAACCTTAATAGTAATTGCGGCGTAAAGATTAAATCTATAGGCGAGCCTCCTTCCTAAAAGGTTTAAAATAATATAACTAAAAATCTGCCTCGTACATAATAACAAGTTCAGGCGCTTTAAATAATTATAATACAAGAAGTATTCGGGTAGGCAGCCCCTTCGGGCCTTCGCCCATCTCTCCCCACTACAATACTTCATGTAAACTCGTCATATGCGCATCACTGTTTTTTTACAAAGAGACGCCTGGGCACGAGGCAGACTAAAAATAATGTTTGCAGAAGTTCCAAAAGTTATTAATGCATGTCTTTGAGCGAAAACAGCAGAAGCATAATATATCCGCTTAGAGTACGGCTTAGTGATATCGGGTGACTATCACTACAAAGGCATTACGAAATAGTTCGTTAAAATTATTAGGTGTCACATTTCAGGATAATCCATGTGGCCTAGATCTCATATCGATGATCTACTGTCGAAGGCCAGTGGGCATATGTACATATTGAAGGTATATTAGGTGCTATGGTTATTCCGTTATTCCGTAGATCATCTAGCTAAGTAATTTATTCGATTCGCTAGTCATGAAGCTTTCTTATTATGGTATTGATGTACATGTGGGGCTCTGCTCTCCAAAAGAAATATTTGGATCATATGGAAAAGCTTTTTCGGCGGGCTTATTGTTATGATATACGATAAAAAGTAGTAAGATATCTGAAGTGACTGAAAAGAGATAGAAAGTTATTCAACAAGATTATAACCAATCTAGAACATGCTATATATGAATTGCTTCCTGCACGTAATTCGTAAACAAAGGAATTATTTTTTGTACACCTATAGAAGATTTTTTTTTTCTCACCCGATGGCTGGAAATTTTTTTAAGTGAAATTTAATAAATAGGCCTATCCAAGCTAGGAATGTTTTTTGCACTATGCCTGGGAAGATTTTTTCTCCTAATTTTTTTCTGGGAATATTTTTTTTTGGTTTCCCTCCCCCCTCATCACTTTTCTAATGGTCCGTCCCTTACAAGGAAATGAGAACATGACTTCATTCTACCATCAATTAGAACGGAAAGTTAATAATAATCTGATCAATGGTCCTTATTGCTTTTTAAAGAATCGCTTGCCATTCGATGTTTTAAACCTGATCTTAATCACGGAATTATAAAAGGCGTCAAAAGACCTCATAATAATTAACTAAATTAACTAATTAACTAACTATATGTTTGTATAACAAATTACTTTTACTCTTCACCTGTTCTCGTAACTAGAACCGTCATGATTAATCATCGAATAAAACAAATGAATTTTTAGGCTTTAATATATAAAGAAAACTATAAATGTTTTATGTATTTTCTACATGTTTTTCTTGTCGCCATGACAACCGTCCTCTCTCGCCAGTCTTTTTGCTCGGTCAAATTTATATTACGTAATAACTTTAATATATTCAGAAACATCACCTAGGATCATTCCTGATGATGACTAAAACATAGTCGAAAGCTAGAATTATACTAAAATGTTCCTTTTCTTTTGTATTTTTCAGAAAACGTACCCCAAGCATTCAGAACATGCAACAAAACAGTTTTTGGTGAGCTATGAATTAAGGACATTATACTATTTTTTGCAGAATCAAAGGAATTCATAGAAAGTAGACGTTTAAAGCCTAAAATTCAGCCGCTCTGTTCACTCTTAGTCCTGCTCACTCAAATAAAATTGTACTTTTGGCAACGTTCATTTCGTTTCATTTTTGTCGAAATATTGTATATATAGTAGTTCTACAAACGATTGTTTTTCTTACGGATGATTGCTGTGTTATGCATATACAATTTGGAGGTAAAAATACCATTTTTTAAATCTGCGAAATTGGCATATAAACGGAGGTGAAAGTTTTAGAAATAAAATTAGTTTTATTAAGTATTTTAATTTTCATTTATATAATCCCACGGAACAATCGATTTTATTTATTTTATACCTCATTGCAACTTGCATATGTAATAATAATAATAATTAACTCATCGCGACTTGTGACAAAAAGAAAAGCCAAAAATGGCATCAAATTGAAAACGAATAAAAAATTACAGCCCTTCATTGGCCATTGGCTATATCGTTCGCAGAGATTTTCAACTATGGCCAAATGTTTTCGAAGAAACCTTAGAAACGTTATTTCAGTAGTTATATAGTATGGCGAAAACAGACTGGACATCGATAGCATTTTCAGTGGTGGTCGGTTGCATCATTATTATTTTTATTAATAGCCCACAAAGCGCAAGCACAATTACGTGGATGTAACAAAAACATTTGAAAAAATGTTGCCTCTATTACATTGTTCGAAAGCATGTCTTAAGAGGCTGTCTCCCTAAAAACCGATCACTCATATTTTACGTAAAAAGTAAACCCACCTGAAACTTTATGACTAGGAAGGTTTGGCCTTTTAATTACCTAAATCGGTTTTACTTTTCTCAAATATTTAATTTTTATCCAGAGCAGTACCGATCAATAGTCCCATGGATCTCGGAGGCAAAATGGCGGCCCGGCGTCTAAACACGACATTTCCTACTAAATTCGGTTGCCGCATACGCGGAACTCTAACTTCCAATCTCAATTCCGCTTGGATATTTTTTAACAACAAGTGGTTGAAATTTATCGTTAACGTTAACATCCTTGATTTCATGTATTATTTATTCAAAACTTGCAAAACGTAACCACGTCTGATCCGCCTTGTCTGTACGGCCAACACACCAGTCGAGTAGAATCTGGATTGAAATTTCCACAACTAACTACCATAGTTGTGTTATATAATAACAAGACGCTCTGCGGAGCGTTGACTCGCTGGGGCTATACAAGTCATACAAATACGCACATTACTAAGCGGAAAAGTCGAATACGAGCGCAAAAGACTTAACACAGTACTAACATGCGGTAGGCCCTGCAAGTAAAGTTATATTTAGTACGCTACATTCTTCAAGACTGTGAGCCGCCAGTTGGTCCGTGCGCTAGGCTGCTCACTACGCTTTAAAACGTTCAAAATAAACTAATTTGGGGACTTTTGGGCTCAAAATACTATCAAAATGAAGAGAGAAGTAAAGCCGAAAAAGAGAAAACCAATGATACCAAAGTTATCAACAATACAATTTCGCTTGGCTAGACTATCACTGTTGTTTAGTAATACATTTGACATCCGTATGACCGTATGGGCGATTTGTTAACATTACAATTTCGCTTGTCTTTCAAAGACAAAGACCATAAATCGCTAGAATACTATTGTTTAGTACAATTTCTTACCCTGAACCGAACGGTGATATTTTTATCGTTATTGCGCCATGAGGCATTACAAATACAAGGACAAAGGTAGTGCGAGTGATTTGTCAACAAATATACAATTTGACCAATTTCGCTTGATTTTCAAAGGCCATAAATCGCTAGAATACTGCTGTTTAGTAATACATTTGACATCTGTGAGTACAATTTCTTACGCTGAATCGATCGTTGTCGCTTTCTTCTCAAAATATATTAAAGCAGCAAAGCCAAACGTATAAACTTGCGATTTGCGAAGGTTGCTGTTTCCGTGCGAAATTCCTTGTAAAATTGTTCAATTTTCCCAAATTTTCCTCAAAATGCAGGGTATTTATGGATATTTTGGGTAAAATTGGCAGGAGTCTTATAGATAATTGGGGGGAAATTAGGCAGCTCATTAATATTCTATTTTGTGGCTATCGACGATCGGAGATTGATGCCGAAACCTATACTCGCCCGGGGCACAGGGTGCCCCAGCGAGTAATTAGTTGAATAATATAATGTGTAGTTTCGTGTGGATCTGTTTGCGTGTTTTCAACAGAATGCTGTCAATATCCATCAAATTCGGCTTAATTCGCAAACGGAAATAATTGGCACTGCCAACTGTTCAAGTACTGTTGGCCAGAATAATTCGCTAAATACTTACGAAAGCACAAGTATTGTATTTTAGAAAAGCAATGTTAAATATTTTCAAAACTAAAAACTACGTGAAACTTCTGGAAAATCATAAATATAGAAAATATCTTGATTCTAGCGCATTGCCAACAACAAAAGACGACAGTTCACGCACAGAGTTGACCATTACTTTTAATGTTTTACGCGTTGTACCTTGCCAAAAAATGTGAACGGTTATATTGAGGCTTTATATTATCATATCAATTCTGGTTTAAAAACCTTATTTCCACAGCGACCTTACAAATGTTGATTTTATTTCTGCAAGTTTAATAATTGGTAAGACTCAAATGAGTCAACAATAATAATATAGTAATTTCTACGAGAGTGATGGAACCAAGTTACCACGTCTCTCCCAGCCCTACACACAAACCCAAACGCGCACGCGCACACTTTGCTTCATTCTATATTCTGGCGCCAGTTGTCATCAAAAGCCGGTTGTTCTAACCCTGCGTCCAAATAGAACTTTCCAACAGCTTGTTTATAAAATTAAATAGGTTTTCTAGAAATCTTTTTTGGATGAGTAAATGTTTTATTTCTAAACTTTTGAAATGAACTGTCTTACAGAAATACCCTCAAAACAGCAGGTTAAAACTTAACCCATGCTTTGTCAGTTCTAATCGAGCTTTGAACAACCGGCCCATGGACTATGTTTATTGCAATTTTATTATATTACCATTTATACCATCGACTTCAACGTACAGTATTATAGAACATAAATATGAAAATCAGGAGGATGAGCAGTCACATTCTCTTACCAAATCTGACAGTCTTTTAAGAAAGACCGCCTTCTTGTCGCGTGCTTTGAAGCCGATTTCAAAATATTCACAAATATTCTTTAGCATTGGAATATTAAATGGTTTTAACTTTCCCTCACGGTAATATTGGCAAATGTTAAAATTTTCAAAAACAATTGGGTGCTGTAAACCAATTTCGTCTCTCAAACGCGCCATTATCTCTTCATGCATTTTCTCCTGTTCAGCATTGGCCGCATCTTCTGCCAAAGTATCCAGTTCCGTCTCACTGTCCTCATCATAACTAATAGATGGTTGTTGTAGCCTGCGTTTTCTTCGAGCTGCGGCCAAACGAGAAAAGAAGCTTTTTATTTGTGTCTTGGTAAGCCAATCTTCACGAGTAAAAATCCGTTCGCCACTTTCATCTCTTGCCATCCTCATATCCACTGATACTTGCATTGGATCAGCCTTCCTTCCTGTTGCTTCTCTCAAGTCAAATATAGCAGTCAGATAGTTTTTAACCCCTTCTGAGAACTTCCCTGTGGATACTCTTTTCTGGAGGGCCCAACCCATTGGAAGTGTCTCAGTGTCTTGATTATTGCTACAGGGAGTTGACTGCGTTACAACTTCTCCCGTCTTGTCAATCGTAGCAAACCGTCCTGCCCAGTCTCGGCGCAATTTATCAAAAAATCCCTCGCCATCTGTGTTTGGTTTAGAATGACGATCGACCGCAACATGCATCTCAAGTTCATCGAGTGTTTTGAAAGAAAATGAGCAATTTTCCTCGGTGCACTCGTATAAGTTATTTATCTCATGTTCCTCCGGTTTACTACTTTTTGGAGTGAATGTTCGCAATTGGTTTATTGGGTAGAAACTTTCCGTCGTTATTAAGTCTGTCGGATCTTGGTCTTTGTTGAAAATATCATCATATGCAAAAAATTTTCCAGTCCCAATGTTTAATGCTTTCCACGCTCGTAATCCAGTGTGCTCGTACGAAAAGTTATGGTAATTACTAAAGTTTAGAAGTTTGTTCACTTCCAGAGTGCACTTTGACTTATGAAGTACACAAACTGCTGCTGTAGTTGCGCGTACTGGTCTTTCCATCAATGCCTTCCTCATATCCATCGCTGTCAGAATATCATGTCCTTCGTTGCAGTACACGCGAATCGAGTTCTTCATAGGACAAATAATTCGATCACAAAGGTCTTTGCCATGCTGTGGCTCCGACAAATCATATCTTTCGATTTTAATTCCACTTCTTCTGCCAACATCACGTAAGGCGGCAACGAGAAAGTTATTATAATAGCACCCAGCCTCGTCAGAGCGCAGGTATGCTTTTGTTATCTGAGGATTCCCTCTTTTTATTTCGTTCAGCAGATTTTCCAGAATCGACAATACTGCATACCAATCTTGTGCGCATGAATCAAATAAATGAGCGTAGGAGATGACATCAAACATTCCCGAGTCTCGCTTCAAAATACAGCTGCTAATATGCCAGTTTAGACCCCGCTTTCCAAACCAATCGGTTTGTTTCTCGCGATATTTTACTGTCAGAAATTTCATTGCCCAGTCACAAAGTATAAACACGGAATTATTTTCCAGACCATCAACCACATCGTGCTTCGCTTTATCTTGATTCTGTGACCTTAATATGTGGGCTTTCCATTGTTCAACTTGTACACGAGCGTTGGAATAGTCGTACAATAGATCTTCCTGTTGTTCTTTGCTGTACATATTCGTTGCTGTGCATATAACCATCCTTATATCCTCTATAGTCTCTTTGAGGTTTTCGCAACTCGTACATGAACTGGAATGGGAACACTTTTTCTGCAGATCTTTATCTATAGGGTCACTTAGTGCAAAGATACGGCAATGATCGGCACATGTGCTTTCGGCTTCTTGGCAGTGCGTCACATAATTTGTCTTGAAGTAGCGCTTCCGTTCCCTGAGAAATCTCTTTTTGGTATCAGCCCATTCTTTAGAAATACCAATCTTTTCTAGTTCTTGTATGATGTTCTCCAAGCTTTCAAATCCTGCCGCGCCGTCTGAAGCGATGTTGTCAAGTCCTTGCAACGATTTTCTTTGTGAGGCCTCTCTTACTTCCAGAATTCTGTAAAGGGTTGATCTACTGAGAGGATCGAAGTTTTGCTCCTTACAGAACTCCAAGTACTGGAATATCATTGTTGATCTTGTTACCGTTCGGACTACGTTTGGCATGGTAAGTTGCTCACCGGAATCAAGTTATAGCTTCCGTGTACCAAACGAAACGTCTTGATAAAAGTATGGTCGGTTAATAAATTGAAGAAAATGATCCGATTTTTCAGTATCGATGCCAATTCTCTGGTGCTTTTTGTTTTCTATGGGAATTCCTGGGCCAACCTTTTTTTTGCATGCGCGCGAACTCGTTTAATTTTCCATTTTGTTAAACGTTCATACGGTTCATGAAAATGCATCAGTTTCTTGGCTGAATAGCTGAAGGCGTACAAGCTTAGTATCTGCAATTTTAACTTCCTTGTTGGCGCGTCTCTATATGCTGTCATCATACCAACAAGCTCGCCACTTAATGGTTCTTCGCGCGGTGGATGGATTGCTTCAAAGAATTCTTCGGCTGCTTCTGGAGCGATAACTTCACAGACAACATGACATGCTTCAGTTGCTTTTTTTACGCAGTTCGCCTTGATATCTGGCTTCATTTGTTCCCAGTTGTGATGAACCCTTTGCTCAACAGGCGAACAGCCCACGACAGAGGTTTTACCTGTGATATTTGACAGAAATTCGTTTTTGGTCGTCAGAATTTCTTCGTCATCACTGTCAAGAATAGTGTCTTCTTTTTCCTGTTCATCGTCATCTGGAATCCACTCGCGTACCATGCTCAACCGGGGAGCTCGTTTCGAAGTTGGTAAAGGAGTAGACTCTAAAATTTCTTTAATTTTCATTGTAGCCATATCAAAAGCTATCCTGCAAATTGAAATATCATAGTGAAAACGCAGCACTATGGAGTTTTTGCCTCCACCAACCGAACCAAATGTTTTGGAGATGCGAGCCACACCCAGGCTATATGTGTTTTTTCAATGTGGGTACTCTTTAAATATAGTTAAATGAACGTGATTGGGTCTTTCATAGCTAAGCACCCAAACGAAAACAGCTTGCAAGCATAAAAAAGATTGGATTTTTATCATACAATACCTCTCTGTTGAATCATCATCCTTCGTGGTTTCTTTAGGAGTGGTAAAATTTAGCCAGCTGCTGGACGCCATGGTCTCCTTATATTCCTTTCTGCATTTAACACATATCGCTGAATAGACGAATGAAAGTTTAGTTAAAGTTAACTGAAGTTCAAACAGTTCCCAACCCGACACTTTGAAGGGTCTGGAGAAAATATTTCACCCTCCCTGCTAATGAAAAATGTACAAGAAATTTTTGCACGGAAGAAATTTTACTTAATTAGAATGACCTACGCGGCAATCCTTTGCAAGGGCAATATACCAATTCTGTTTTGCAAATAACTTTTAAAGAACAGGATTAATTTGAAAAGTTCTTACGTGATCCAACAGGAACATGGACTTGGTACAACTGTTGTATATTTTTGCACATGTCTACTCCAATCGTATCGCGCGTTTTTAGTGCCGTTCGCTTGCCATTGTGTTTAGGGTAGTGGCAGGATAGGCGAGATGGTCTCCACTGCTTTCCAAGACAGAGTCGGTGCTTTGTACAGATCCACATTGCATCTATTTGTCCCTGGCGAAGATTGACTATTCCTGCCCTTAAAAGGATTAACTCTACTTCTGTTAGTGTTTCAGAAGAAAGATGATTAGTTCGAAGGTGATGTTTTATGTCACTTTGACATTCTGTCAGACGAATTAGTTCCTCACTGCAGCAAGAGTATTCTTCTTTTCCTCCGATAAAACAACATAGCGAAGACATCGTTAAATCGATAATATTAATGGGACAGAACTACGTTTGCAATAAAATAATATTAGAAAAACATCGATGTAAAAGCTAGAAACGCCCAGTGACTGAAATTGATGATGACTCATATGCATGTTGATTTCAATTATGCATACCGGAAGTATAGTACCGTGATGGAACAATATATGGGAAAGTATTTAAATATAAATAAGATTTTTGATAATAGTAGAAATATATAAAGCACGAATATTCCCGGTCACTACGGAACGTTCCCGGTCTTTACTAAACTTTCATCATCACACGTTTGTTTACCAGACTTGCAAGGTACAACGCGTAAAACATTAAAAGTAATGGTCAACTCTGTGCGTGACCTGTCGTCTTTTGTTGTTGGCAATGCGCTAGAATCGAGATATTTTCTATATTTATGATTTTCCAGAAGTTTCAAGTAGTTTTTAGTCTTAAACCTATTTCACATTACTTTGATAAAATACAATACTTGTGTTTTTGCAACCGTTTAGCGAATTATTCTGGCCAACGAGTACTTGAACAGTTGGCAGTGCCAATTATTTCCGTTTGCGAATTAAGCCGAATTTGATGGATAATGACAGCATACTGTTGAAGAAACACAAACAGATCCACACGAAGTGACACATTATATTATTCAACTAATTATTATATAACACAACTATGGTAGTTAGTTGTGGAAATTTCAATCCAGATTCGGGAATATCAAATTCTACTCGACGTGGTGTGTTGGCCGTACAAACAAGGCGGATCAGACGTGGTTACGTTGTGCAAAGTTTTTAAATAAATAATACATGAAATCAAGGATGTTAGCGTTAACGATAAATATCCAAGCGGAATTGAGATTGGAAGTCAGAGTTCCGCGTATGCGGCAACCGAATTTAGTAGGAAATGTCGTGTTTAGACGGCATTTTGCCTCCGAGATCCATGTGGACTATTGATTGGTATATCTGGATAAAAATAAAATATTTGAGAAAAGTAAAACCGATTCAGGTAATTAAAAGGCCAAACCTTCCTGGTCATAAAGTTTTACTTTTTACGTAAAATACGGTTACAGTTTTACTTTTTAAAATACGGTTACAGTTTTACGGTTAAAGTTTTACTTTTTACGTAAAATTTTACTTTTTACGGGTTTACTTTTTACGTAAAATATGAGCTAGCTCGAGTGGTCGGTTTTTAGGGAGACAGCCTCTTAATTACTTGAGCGAAAAAGCCTCTACTAAGCAGGCTAGGTTTGTAAACGCAAAGAATGAGCCGTTCTATGGGGGAGCAGAATTTGCACCGGTTCATTTAGAATTTTATATACCACAATTACCGAATTGGCCTTCCAATCTTCCATCTTCTGGCGCACTGAATTTACAGTGACGGCCATCTTTTAACAGGTTTGTCACCGTGCCTGCCTCATTTATACAACACTTCTTTAGCACAAACCTTGCTGACCTACGCTGAACGCTTTCAATGGGATCCATGCTATACGTCATGCTGCTATATTCGCACTATATAGTAAATCCGAAAAATGGGGACTTTGAGCAAGCTACATTCATCTATGAGCTGGCAGCAGTCCAACTGACAATAACGATTTGGCATCAACAATGGATTCACAATTCAACACTAGAAAGCTGCTTCCTAAGAAGAACTATTATTGGAGTTTTCGTTGCTGTGCCATTAGCCTGTAAATTCAATTTAAGCAGTCACTGAACAGAATAAAAACATATGTAAATGCATTTCAAAAACATTTGGAAAGTGTCATGAAACCCAAAGCTTCCAAACACCGACCATCTACGGTTTCTAAATCCGCTCGACGTGACAAGTTATAACTATATGCTGAAGTGAGTGGATAAAATGGTTATACCATTGCTGTTGTCATCTTTTTGACAACTGGTTTTCTTTCTCTTCTTCTTCTTCTTTCTACTCTTTTTCTTTTCTACATCTTCCTGCACTTCTATTTGTTCCTCGTCTGTAAAAAAAATCAAGGTGGGCTTAAGATACGAGAAAATTAAGCTAAATGTTGATTACTTAAAGACTGGTAAAAAGAGTAAGTGACTCATTTAGAACAATATCTAAAACTACCTTAATAAAAATACCTTCTACTGCATGTATACTCATTACGTTACATGCGACAAGCAGTTATTTTGCTACTACAGGTATATATACAGTACATTACAAAAACTATATATACAGTATGCATTTAATGTTAGTACGCAAACTAACCTGTGGGATCTTCCTTTGATTCAGATAACGCTTCATCCCTACTTGTAGGCACTTCCAAGCCACTAGAACAAGGTAAACCTGTTGATGTTGCATCAGATGTTGTCAGCAATTCCCGCTTCTTATTTCGTTTTTTCCTCTTGGTATTTCCAGATTGGTTTGGCATGACTATAATTATAGAAACAAATAGACAACGTAACACCTATACAGCCTCTGGGTTAAGACATTTTCCGATTCAGCCGACACCTGGAGCCAGTTGTATAAAAACGTCGTTAACTTTAACTTGCTGTGATGGAATTTTGTCTAGACTTGTTGAGATCAAAATTTTGATTAATATGGGATTGGTCTATTACAGTCGATTTCACGAAACTTTGACCACATATGTTCCGAAGTTCGTTGCGAAGTTCAAAAGTTCATGAGATTCACAAACCAGTTTGTAAACTACGCATTTGATTTTTACTTCTGGGACCAATCAGGGACTTTGTTTACAAATTGACTTGTGAATTCCAATATGAACTTCTGAACTTAGTCTTCGCAACGAATTTGCGAACTTTGCAACGAAGTTGAGTTCGGAACATTTGTGGTCAAAGTTTCGTGAAATCGACTGTAAGTCGTGTAGTTAACTAATCATAGTTAAGGATTTAACTACAGCTAGTGATTAATGCTAATCAATGAAAGAGCATCACAAAATTAGTTATATTCCAAAGTTTCGTTGCGAAATGTTGTAAAATGCGGATAATATAGCATTGCGAAATTTGCCATTTTCAGTCATTTTGTATTACGAGCGGGAAACGGTTACCCACTTTTCCAAAATTTTGATCTCAACTAGCCTAAACAAAAATTTCATCACAGCTTGAGAGAGCATCACTAAATTAGTAATACTCCAAAGTTTCATTGCGAAATGTTGTATAAAATGCGGATAACATAGCCTTGCGAAGTTTGTAATTTTCAGTCATTTTGTATTTTTTTAATACAAACGGGAAATGGTTACCACTTCGGTAACTGTGTCGGTATTTGTATTAGCATTTTACAGGACAATTAGCATACCATAGAATATGTAATTATGTATAAAGGCTGTCTCATGATGAAGCCAGCATCATTTGGAATGCATACTTGTACGAAGATAGACCGGTTTTACTGTTAGATATATCTTAATAAAACATTCTTATAAAACCACGACGTTACATGATGTCAGGAGTGGGATCTCCTTCATCAAAGCTTAGTCAAGCTTTAAGCTTTTGACGAGGGAAATATAATTGAACTGAAGTAAACAGAAACAAGTGAAGCGAAACCGTCGAAATATGTCAACTGCAGACAAGAATAGCGACGAGTGTAAAATGGCAGATATAAACTTTCAAGCCAGACTATCGCCACCGTCAAGACTCGAACTAACTGGTAACCTAGCTGTGAACTGGAAGAGGTTTCAGAGATCGTGGAAGAACTACGAAATCGGATCACGACTAAAAGAATTAAGATTGGAGATGCGAACGGCAACGCTATTAACATGTATTGGACCGGACGCTTTAGATATACTCGAGGGACTTGATTTCGAAGAGGAGTCACAAAGAAATAACATTGACATTGTCATGAAAAAGCTCGAAGAATATTGTGTGGGCGAAACGAACGAGATATACGAACGATATTGCTTTAACAAGCGGGATCAGGAAATTTACGAAACAGTTGAACTCTACGTTACGGTCCTTCGAAAGTTGGCAAAGACATGCAATTTTGGGACTCTTGAAAACAGTTTGATAAGAGACCGACTCGTTGTGGGCATTCGGGACAATAATATACGAAAAAGATTGCTTCAAGTTTCAAAGTTAACCCTGAAAGATGCCATTGACATATGTAGATCATACGAAAGTACGTGTCTGCAGCTGAAAGCGATGTCACAAGAAGCAGAAGTTCATAAAGTTGACAAAGCGAAGCCTGGTTTCGAGCGATCTCTGAAACGAGTTGGAAGTGAGGTAAGCCGTAAAGTTACAACATGTAAATTCTGTGGGAAGTCTCACCCAATGAACAAACTTATGTGCCCAGCATGGGGAAAAAACTGCAACGCATGTGGCAGAAAGAATCATTTTGCTGTGATGTGTAGTGTAAAGCCACGGGAAAGGCGGGAATCTCTAAAGTGGGTCGAAGACGTAGATTCTGATGAATATATCGCATGTGTTGAATTAAAAGAAAATGTGTGCGCTGTTGAGGTCAGCCAAAACAAACAGTTGAACTCTACGTTACGGTCCTTCGAAAGTTGGCAAAGACATGCAATTTTGGGACTCTTGAAAACAGTTTGATAAGAGACCGACTCGTTGTGGGCATTCGGGACAATAATATACGAAAAAGATTGCTTCAAGTTTCAAAGTTAACCCTGAAAGATGCCATTGACATATGTAGATCATACGAAAGTACGTGTCTGCAGCTGAAAGCGATGTCACAAGAAGCAGAAGTTCATAAAGTTGACAAAGCGAAGCCTGGTTTCGAGCGATCTCTGAAGCCGAGCTTCGAGCGATCTCTGGTAAGCCGTAAAGTTACAACATGTAAATTCTGTGGGAAGTCTCACCCAATGAACAAACTTATGTGCCCAGCATGGGGAAAAAACTGCAACGCATGTGGCAGAAAAAATCATTTTGCTGTGATGCATGTGTAGTGTAAAGCCACGGGAAAGGCGGGAATCTCTAAAGTGGGTCGAAGACGTAGAATCCGATGAATATATTGCATGTGTTGAATTAAAAGAAAGTGTGTGCGCTGTTGAGGTCAGCCAAAACAAAGATAAAGTGTTTGCTACAATGTTGTTGAATGAAGTGTTTGCTACAATGTTGTTGAATGACAGACATATTCGTTTTCAAGGCCTACTCTGGGACCTTAACTCGCCGCGAGATAAGGCGAGCCTATGCGAGTTAAGGCGAGTTAAGGAAAAATCTGGCTACTGACCCTTGCGAGTTAAGGCGAGATAAGGCGAGTTAAGGAGAAATCTGGATATTGTATACACACTATGTATTTTGCTTTGTTTGTGCATTATGCAAAGCAAGTATGCAGTACTTGAAGTAGCAGGCCTAAAAAAGTGTTTTATTCTATATTCTACAATACATACATGATATGCACAATAACTCGGGACCTGGAAACAAGTTGCATCAAAACGAGGCTGGTAGTCAGATGCCAAATTGTATAATTTAAGGCATTATGCATAGTGTGTATAGAACTGCATTGTTTCCTAAATCTTCACAGTATCAGTTGCTAACTTGCTATGACTATAGTTTCACCCATAGATATCTATGGCTTCACCACAGATTTTGTAATTTTTAGCTGTTTTCATGAATAATTACATTATCAATTAAGTTCGAATTTGTTTGCAAGCAGCAGTCCTTGTATTCAATTTTTAATTTAATTCAATATAAACTTTGATATGAAACAAAGAGAAACTAAAAAGCTTGCTAGGAAATTATAGATTATTTACTATTAAAATTAGTACTCTAATAACTATTTCTATTAACAAAATTTCGAACCAGAATGGCATATTAAATGATAACCAACGGTCATAATACTAGAATTAATGCCCAACTTACTTGCTTTGGAAACGTAAATGAATGTAAATGACAATGATTCCTCTGTATAAAACCTGTATTATTGTTTAATATATTCCTATTTCCTATCAAGCTTTTATATTCAGAATTCACTGCCTCTCATCATTAACACTAACACTAAGTATTGTAAGCAGAATGTAATTTTTCCGCTGAAGTGAGCAATATTTTCAATATCTGTTCCCAGACAGCATCCAACCCCCTGGTAAACGGATCTTCCTTCCCATCATCGCGGTATTTCCTCTGTGGTCGGGGGGTGGGGAGTCTACGCAGTCAGAATCATTCGATTCCGCAAACGCAATATGGCGGGA